AAAATTCTGTGAGGAAAGGATTGTTCCTACTTTGCTTGCTAGTCCCAGGTAGATGGTATTTATTAGAAACAGTTTGGATTCAATGTTTTCATGAAGTTTTATGTTTCCCTTGGTGTTAGGGGTTATTCTGAATGTCTGCTCGGAGTGAAGTGGGTCCTCATGCCCTCACTAAAGCACGAGTCTGAATCAGCTACCTGTTCCTTCCCTTGAGGAAACACTGAATCCTCCTGTATGTCCCCTGCCCTGCTAGCTGTAAACAGTAGCACTGAAACATCCCTGGTGTCCGGACCACATCATGCCAACTAAAAGAATGAAAAACATTTGCCACCAAAATAATAGTGAATCTTTTGTTGCTGTGGTGCAAAGAAAGGCCTTATAAAGTGAGTTATATAACAGACCATTTTTCTTTTCCAGGATCACTACACATACTACAAAAAAATACTTTTTGTTTTCTTACAATGTACCTAACTTGGTTAATAAATGAAAGGCTTTTGAGGTTAAAGGGAGGTACTGCCATGCTCTTCATGAGTCTGTGGAGTGTTGGAGTGTTTGATGTTTTGAAGTCTTACAGAATCTCACTGACTTATTTTAATTTTGGTATTCATTTCCTCAGGACGGCACTTGCTAAGCATCTGTGTTTAAATTATGCTATATGCTAATGGTTCTATTTCAACAAAGAACATATTTTAAATGATTTTTTCTTTTTTCTTTTTTTTCTTCTGAGTAGTATCATTCCACCAGAATAAAAATAAGTGTTTTCCAATGAATGAACTGTTTCAGTTACACAGTCAAAGTCTACCCACAACTGGAAATTACTCATTTAAAGAAGTGCAGTAACGCTGCTCTAATGATATTTTGAGATTGGTTGTGATTGGAAAATATTAGAACTATTCTGTCAAAGCTCCTAGCAGAGGTTTTCACAAACGGATCATTTCAGAAAACTTTAGAATTCATATTACTTTTTGCCCTTTCCCACTTGTTCTCTGATTGCTCAAAGAATAAGACCAGCAAGATCTCAAGAAAGAATCTTGAGAGTATCTTGTTCATTGAACTAATCTGTGTCCATGATGCCTTTATCAATGGGTTTTGTAGGATCTAGTATATACACCAGAATGTCATAATAATAAATAGAACAAATAAATAGAATATGAAAATGAAACCAAGAGCCAGGTTTTGAAGAGCATCAGAGAAAGGAAGATAATTAACAGAATACTTCAGTCAATGAGGTTCAGTCTAGGCAAACAGAGTCCAATGTTTTTGTTCTGTATTCAATTTTTCATATTGAATTTTAATTATTGGTAGCATAGAGCACATATTTAGAGCAAACGATAACTTACTCTAAGCACTGACCTTCTGGATAAAACTGCCAGTCTCTCAAATCTTGCTGGGTTAGATCAACTAAAACAGGGAATTATATTTCTTGATAGGTTATCAGCTGGTTATTTCTATTTTAAGCCAGTTAAAATTAGTGTTCCGAGTATTTGTTGTGAAAAGATAAGCCATGGTTGCAACTAATTTTTTGCAATTGGCTTTTATGTGACAAAAGGAAGAAGGTCTTTTTGTGAGCAAATAGGTATTGCAATTTGAGATACATCTTTAGTGTAAATGCTACCGAATTGCATTACATCTTTCTTGTCACTGTGAGCATGTTGTACTTCCACTGACTTTTTTTGTAGTACTGTTTTAGTAGTTTAACTCCATGAGAACTTAGTTGAATCATACCTAACATGGGAGAGCAGTAAAAGCAGGCTGTTGTCCCTTCTAAACATTTATCCTTAAATCGCCTAAATGAGAGTGACTTTCCGTAGGGTAAAGAGATTTTACTGTAAAGTAGAAAACATATATTATTAGGTCCAGAGATCCAAGAATACGTAAAAAGTGTACCCTTGAACGTAAAAAGTGTACCCTTAGCAAGACTAAATTTAATGCAGTGCTAAAATTATTGGTTGTATTATTCTCTCTTGGTCCAAATGTGAGCTACGAATGAAAACAAAACCAAACTGAGGAACGGCATCAAAAGTTAATTCAGAAAATTGAAAATGTTGCATAATCCTGCTTGTGAGTATCAACTCAATTCTTTTAGTGTCATAGTCTGCCTTTCTAACACCGCCTTAATTAAAGATAAGAAGGGAAAGACCTTTTGTTTGTCTTTCAAATGGTTAGCTTGGGCATTGAAGTGTGATGATCCTTGAAAGGATGGATGCTCAAGAGATGTAAAGAATGGTAAAGGTAGCCAAGATGATATCGTAGCAACAGTCCCAAAATGGGATTATAGTCCAGTGCGCCAAGTGTTTTGCAAGCAAGATGGTGATTGATGTATTAGCTAATTTGTCAGCTCTTGCAGCTGTCCATAAAGGAGAATGCTGCAAAAGTGCGGCGGCCACCTGAGCTGACCTCGCTTAGCAATTGTGACAAGCATCAAATCGTTGCAGAAGGGTAGATAACGAACTTGTCTCTATCCTAGTTAAAAACTTTTGTTATTTGGTTACCTTCAGTGTATTCCTGATGCTTTTTCAGAAACGTAACCTGGATTTAGGGGTCTCAGCCCCTGTATTGGTGCAGTGTGGTTCATTCTGCTTCTCTTCCTTTAATTTCTGTTGCTGGGGTGCATAGTGACTCAGCGTGCCATATTTTAACAAACTCCTTTGCTCTCAATAATGCCATACAGAGAATAAGCTTGTTGGATTCTCATATTAAAAACCCTTTCTTGTAGCTAAACGTGTATTTGTAAAGTATGAGATGCTATCGTCTGTCCTGTGTGTTAACATTTGGCTTCTCTTCTGCCTGCTTTTGTGAATCAGTTTTATTTGAAGTACAGCAGATATGATTTCTATCTTTTATATCTTTGCAAATAGCTTTTATTTTTTATAATATTCTAATAAAATTTCCTATAGTACTGAAGCTTCTTAAAATACAAAGCTATTGTACATCAGGGAGAATTTTGCTGTATACATTCATGCATCTAAAGCCAAGAGAGGGCATGCTGTACTTAGCTGGTTTGACCTGTAATGTATACAAGGAATGGAAAAAATGACTGCATGTGTAATGACTTGGTAGTTCAGGTAATTTCCTTTATGCCTTAAATTAGGTAACTGACATTCATAATGCATAGAATTTTGCTTGTTGAACAGTTCAGCATCGTATTTGCAGAGCTACGGCTATACTAACTGGTATAATGTTCACATTCGGTGATTTATTTGACTTGGGAAGCCAAAGAATACTCTATATGCTAAAAGAATCTTTTCTATGGTTCCAAATGATCAGCTAATGAACCTTCTAGTTATTCTTCCTCTGTATTACAGTTACGATGAATACATGATCATTTGCGATATATGTTTGGGTATATATATGTATATATAGTGGGACATTATGTATATATAGTATATACATCTGCATATATTGGGACACGCCCTTCACTTTGGTCTGTGACTTCAGCATTGCTCTGTGGCTTCACCTACCTATTTTAGAAACCTCACAAATAAATCACTAGCCATATTCATGAAAGTATTCTTACTTAGGTGAAAGTGTATCTACAAAGTACCAGTTTGTATAGAGTATGCTTTGGACTTCTCCCACTCTTATTTAAAGCATAATATAATAAGCTAGAGTTTGCATTGGCTGCCTGACACACACAAAGGTATTTAATTAACCTGCATGCAGAAATTAACCCTTAGAGTACTGCTTCAAATTCTTCTATTTATTTTGTTGTTTAATTTTACCAGTGGGCTATGCTGCTTTTCTACTCAGCTCATAGTACTGTACATAAAGTGCATTAACTAGCCATATAAAAAATGAGAAAAAATAATTTAAAAAATTATTGTAAATAAGGGATTCCACAAGATTAAGTATGCCAGGTTGCTACTGAGTAATGTATTCCTAAGCAACTACTTTTTTTGTAAGGTTTTACATTTTGACATTCTTTTAAAATGTGTAATGTTTCACTGTAACTGTGTGCCTGTTGGTGTAGTTCCTAAAGTATCCTAGGTATGTGTCAAATAGAAAGAAGCCAGTTCTTTAAGGGTTAATGTGGGGTTTAAGAATCCTAAGATATTCTCCTGCTTGTCTTCTTAAAGGTATCTGCATGTTAATTTTCAGATATTACCTGAATAGGTGAACATTGAGACTGTATGAATGACTAACTGAATGAATGAAATAGTTCATATGAAATGCCTGCTTGTATTTTGAAAGGGACTGGCAAACAGAAATATAATTCCTGAGTCAATATCTTAAGTCTCTAAAAAAAACTGTCCAGAATAGAAATTGGTATTCTTACAGTTTCTTCTAATTTCTTTTTCTTTCAAATAGCCCAATAGAATCCTGCCAGAATTTCTACAAAGATTTCACATTACAGATCGACATGGCTTTCAATGTGTTCTTCCTACTCTACTTCGGCTTGCGTGTAAGTAGCGTGTCTTTGATTGAGTAGGTAAGGGGGGAAATGTAGTTAATAGATAGGGAGACTCTTCGAAGATAGTGTGACTTCATAATTGCTGAATGAATTTAAGCCAATATCTGAAATGCAAGAGCAAACCTTTTGATTGAGAACACTTAAGTAATAACGATAAAGGTATGAGATCACTACAGAGATTGACAGGTTATCAAGCTGTCCGTTTGAGTTTTTAGAAAGTGAAAACCATAATAGTTCAGTGCTGGTCAGTTAAGTGGAATCAAATTTTTTTATTGTCAATAGAGTGATGTCTATCTCAGCAAGACTACCAAATGCTTAAACTACTTTTGCAGTGCTAGATAGGCCTTTGGTGGTTGAAGGCTGAGGTAACTGCTGCTAGAACTTACATATCTTTACACACATCAACTTTCCCAGACTGCAAATGAGTACTTTGCAGAAGCTGTATATATCCAATCAATAATTTTATGTTATGAAGTAAAACCTTAGAATTTATTTGCCACTTTATAGCTTCTCACTTTGTGAAAATCCAGTAACACCATTTAAGTGTCCAAAAGTCATGACATCTAGGTATTTTTTAAGGTTTGGGCCAGTAATGCCTGCAATTCAAACTGTTGTTTTTGATATCAATATGTATTAGGTGTGCTTTGAAAATTAACTTTGCTTGTTGCTAATTAGGAAATCAGTAACAAAAAAGGTCTCAAATGTAGCAGAACTAGGAGTAAAATCTCTCACGAGTGGAAGGCCTGTTGCCTAGGCCTTGAAATCTCACACAAGAACTGTCCATTTTGCTTCTGAATCATAGGAGCTTCCCTGTCACAGTGACAGCCTGTCCCTCTGCTCTCATTTCTGGCCAGTGTAACCAACTTTTTTCTTCTGGTGATCCCGTTACCAATTTTGTTGCAAGTAAAAGATCTAACTTATTTCATTACCCCATCCAATAGATGCATTGGCTGTCCATTAGCTAACTAGTTTAATTCCCTCAATATTTGCACTGATGTGTGTGCATCTGGTATGTTCAACACATAGTGGATTTGTCTCTAAATATTAAGGGGTTTTTTTTGCTTTTTTTATAGATGTCAACCAGATGTCCAATATGGGTTGACTTTTTGACACAGCAGGTTCAGCTCATGATTCTTACGACCTTCCAAGAACCCTAAATCCACAAGTGCCCAAATGATTTGTGTTTGTGATAAGGTTATGTGTTTTTTCCTAGAGAATTCAAGTTAGGTATTTGCCATTCTTACATCCTTAACATGGTAATTTGGGCTCTTTGTACATTATGAAGAAGCAGAACACAATAGGAGAGGATGTTCTAGGAGATGATGCTCGTACTCTTATATCTACACTGTATTTTTGGCTTTTTTTGGAGGGAACGGAATACTCTGATCTCACTCCATGCTGGTTCTGCAAACTGAATGCACATTAGCAGTTGGATTATGTTAGGTGATTTTCTTCAGTTTTTCTTTCAACCAAAACTTATCTTTGTTCCCCTCAGTACTGCTTTGTAATGCAAACACAAGTAACAGGGTTCATAAGGAGATTCACTTCAAGCTTGCCCTCCTGGTTGTAATTAAAATGCTATTGTAAGTACAGCTTCAATTCTCCAAGCAGTTTGACTGACCCAGCAGAACTAAACCGAGGCTTCGAATGAGGAGGAAGGGAGAGAGTTATCAGCAGCTATGTGAGGGAATGATCAAAAGGGTTGATAGGCAAAGGGATGATATGAACAGTGGAATACATGATCAACAAAAAAGGCTTAAGTGTAAGACCCTAAGCATTCTAGGGAAACGTCTCGCATTTGAGGCTGGAAGAGTGGGCAGACAGGAACCACATTTGAGGCAATCAGAAATTGCACTGCCATTCAAAGGGAGATGACAGGCTGGAAGAGTGGGCAGACAGGAACCTCATGAAGTTACAAAGGAAAGTGCAGAGTCCTGCACTTGTCCTGCACAGTACATGCTAGGTCTGGTATGCTGGCAAGCAGCGTTGCGGACACAGACCTGGAGGTGCTGGTGGACTCTGTTGGACATGAGCCAGTGAGGTGCCCTTGTGGCAAAGGTGCCATGGCATCCTGGGTCACTAGTGGGTTTGCTAGTTATTTACATAATAAACTTCTCATACCTTTAGCTTTTCAGTTTATTCCAATAGATGTCTCCTGTGGTGACTTGTTGGCAAAGATATTTGAAGAAATATTTTAAATCCTGTCCTCCTCCGTCTGTTCTCTCTGAAATGATTAAATGCAACTCAAAATTATACTAGTATTACTTAAATCTTCAGTTGTGGAATTACTTGTGTTCAAACACACATGTATTCATTTTTTAAAATCTTTGGCTAGTATCCAGCTTTGTGGTTCACTAAGAACTGAAACCTTCCAACTACTGATGGAAGACTAAGACCAAACTGCATGTGTTAGCAGTCAGGCGCTGAGATCTGACAGAGATTTGGCAGATATAAAACAATGCTAGTGCTTCTAAGTTGGTGTGTTTATCTTCAAGCATGGTAAAGTTTATTTCTGTAATGGAATGTGCTTTTATTAGTTACTAATTATCAAGTTAAATTAATAATTGCTCGAATAGTTGTATAGAAAAGTATGAGTGGCCTTTAGAGTCAATATACTTTGTTTTCATTGTTGAATAACAAGTAAACTTAACCTTTTGAAAGGCTAAAAGTTGTGCTTTAAAGATAAAACACTGATTAGAAAAAGCTGTTTTCTAATCATTACAGGCCATGAAAATTATTTTCTGTGATCTGGAAGAACTTTTGGCTCCAAATATGCTGACTGTTTCTAAATTCAACAGCTTGAGATTTTAAATTTCTGTTGAAACTAGATATTTTTTGTTCAATTTTTCATGCTGGAGCTTTGACGTTAATTGAGTATCATGGAAAAGTAAAATGCCAGATTATTTAAAATCTAGTCTCCTAGGAGGCAAGGGCAGTTCGTATTGCAAACATAAAGTTTATTTTTGTTTTAACTAAATTTAACTAATTTTGACTTCAATATTTTTGGCATTAGTAGGGGCCCTTTTCCAGTAGTTGGTACGCATCATGCTCATTTTACATTTTTCATTAAACGATGTTTTGAATTAATCCTAGAAGCTGGAAGATTAAAGTGATCGATTAAATAGCAAATACTCCTATCCTCATACATACTCCTATGTATGAAATGCAATGAATGTCATGTATAATTCAAAAATACAATTATGATTCTTAAGTACTTTAGTCCAAGTTCTAGGTCTTACCTGAGAAAAATTACTTCATTGTGATGCAATGGTGCATCTTTGTGATGCACTAAACTCTGTATTTCTATACATTTATATTTTATACTTACATAAAGTGTATTTTATGATTATTTCTTGAGTACAAATAATTGTCTGGCCTTCCTTTGGCATTCCTCTTACCAGTGTGCAGATGTTAGTAGCAGGCACACAATAATGTCGTAGGCATCTACGTTAGACAGTTTCCCTAGGCTTCATTGTCAGCAGAGAGAAATGGCCTTGTCGACACCATAATCCAAGGTATTGAAGTTGATGCACTAGCTCTGACTTAGGCCTTCAGAAGTCAGCTTGGTGATTAATGCTGGGGATTATTTTAAAACTATCAGATATTTGAAGGCTCTGAATAATAGTAGTACAGGGTGTGACTACTACTAAAGTGTTTTGTAATGATAAATGCTCTGTTGCTTTAGTTAGGCCTCTCATTTTAATATCAGTGTGGTTATGAAGTAATACAAAATATAGAATTATTTCTCGTGAGAGCCATTGTCTTGTTTGGACTGATCTAACAGCATCAGCACTCTCTTAAGTGTTTATTCTTCAGATGGAAAATACTGCATCTACTTGCAACTAACAAGTGTATAATTTTTTTTCTCCTCTCTCTGCTTTTTTTTTTTTTTCCCTCCCCCCCCCTTTTTTTCCTTTTTTTTTTTTCCAGTTCATAGCAGCCAATGACAAGCTGTGGTTCTGGCTTGAAGTTAACTCAGTAGTAGATTTCTTCACAGTTCCTCCAGTGTTTGTGTCAGTATATTTAAACAGAAGTTGGCTTGGTGAGTAAAATAGTTTTTTTTCTATATAACTGTTATCAAAATACTTAAACTTGACATATTTTTTATAAAGCATTTCTTTGCTTTGTGCCATCATGTGAGCAGAAGAATGTTACCAAAGCTTGTTTTTTGCAGTCATTGGGCTGTTTACACAGACAGGTAGGTCATGTCAGACAAAGCACTTGCTAGGCCCGTTCACTCATTAACATAATTGAGCTCCTGATATTGGAAGTAGGGTCCAATATGGGGATGTTTCTAATAAATAGTTCATGTGGTGTAATTGTCCCAATTTACAACCTCACAAGACAAACCAGAGCGTTCATTCGTTGAACTGTATTGCCATGAATCATTGTCAATAATGAAATCAACAAAATTTCTTCATATTTTGAACTAATGTAGCTAATTTTTTTAATTCATTGAAATAATGGATTTAAAAGATTTGCTTAGATGTTACTAGGCTTAATCTTTGTATGGGATTTGCTGAGATGACAGTAGAAAATAATATGCTACAAATAAAAAGGTATACAGAACGAAGCAAAATGGACCAAAAAAGAATGGTTGAAAATAGAGCACCTTTAATGAGATATTTTAAGTTGCTTGTACAAATTGCATGTTTGTCTACTTGCATAAAATTAAGACCAAATTTTGGAGTTTTTATTTGGTTAAAAAAAAAAAAAAGCCCTGAAATCTAGGCCCTAAAAAATTATGTCCTTTTCCAATGTGTTGTCTTTAGTCAACATATTTGACCACACCATTTAACAGCTGTATAAGGCTACGTTTCTCCAGAATTATAGCCACTAATTGTTTTTGAAAACTAAAGACAACAGTCAGTTTAAAAGTTTTACATTTAAATGGCAGGAGAATAAAATAAAGGATCACTTACAGAAATATGTTTTAACTTTTTTTTTACCAGTTATTTTTTCCTCTCTTGTGGCAAAGGCACTTTACATAACTGACATGGTTAAATGGTTAATGGAAAAAATGAACCTTTGGTCATGCACTTTCATGCTTATGAAAAAGAAAGTATTGATTTTTATGGGCAGACTCTATTGGAATAAGTTGCTTTCACAGAATGGTATTGATAGAGGAAGATTAAGAAAGTAAGGAAGTAGCCCTCATTTTTGCAAGCACATGCGGCTGAGGAACAATTAGCCATAGGACTACTTAAATAAATATAAAATTGTATCAACTTGATATTCTCTTGTTTATCACTGAGTTACAGTAGTCAAAGATACAGAAGATATATTAAACCTATTTCCTTTTCCTGACATATCTATTCAGTGATTGGTTTGTTCAACTGTTTCGAATGCTAGAAACTGCTTACTAATGTGTTGTAGTACAATACATTGATGGTTTTACCATCATCATCTGCCCTGAGATTCCCTTTAGTCTAAGGTACTGTTGAAACAATAATATTATTCGGAGGATAATTCAAGATTTATACTGGGGAAGAGAAGGAAGACAAAGAATGCGAACATGCACAGCATAGAGATGGCTGGTTAATGTACTTCATTAAGGAGGGAATATTTTTTTTCTCTCCTTACTCGAATTCTATCTAAATTCTGCCTGCCCCCTTACAGACATGCCAAGTTCTTTTGGATATGAATCTTGTTCTTTTTTTTTAATAAGAAAAAAAAAAATAGCATCCCTTCATTGTCTGCAAAGAGCGCTTCCGATGTGTCTTGCAAGCAGCTAGTTTTGTGATTCGGAGAATGTACTAATTTGCCTTTATTGTTAATGGAAATAGATAGATGGGATAAGAGAAAAAACAGAGTGACTGTTTGTTTCAGATGCCTTAAGATGATAAGGCAAATGACTCCTGGCCATCCAGTGAGTGTGTTTCATGATGAAATAGCTGCTGTTACTTAGAAATTTGTGTGAGCAAAACAGACATGGAAAACCACATTTATTTCAAAACCCTGTAGACTTTGTGACGTAAGCACCACAGAACAATTTGGCCTAAAACCATATTTGAATTCTCAGAACATTTTGTACATTTTGGAAAATGTGTATTTTTTAATGAAACTTTAAGCAGTATCTTAATTATTGTGGCACAAAGAAGTGCTCTGAAAATTGAATTGTAGTGCTATCAGTGAGATAGAGGACCTACAAGTTTCAAAACCTTAAAATAATTTCCTCTCTTAATACATCTACAGGTGTCAAAATCCTTCCTTAGCATCATAAACTTTTAATCATTTTCAGTGTTCTTGTTGGTTAAGTATTGTGCATTTCTGCCATCTATTGGCAACAGCTTTGAATGCACGTTCAAATTCTACAATAATTATCTTTTTCCAGGGCAAGTTTTTACAAAGCTAGTATATTTTCTACCACATTAAAGCATACAATGTAATTTTATTTGTGTTATTTAATGGAATTTATTTGCATACTTAATGGGAGGTAAATTCTGCTAAGTATCCTAAGAAAATTGTATTTCATATGTTTTTGTATGTGCACTACTTCTCTTTCCTTAACAGTATCATTTCTTTATATACTTCAAATATTTTCAAACGAGTGTGAGAATATTAACTGAAAATCACTCTGGAAACTCTTTGTTTTATGATGTGGCAACAGTAACTCACTGGAAGGACTGCATCGTGTTTGTTTTATATAGAAAGCAAGAATTTTTGGCCTCTTTAGAGTATCTTAATCAATACAAGTCTCTCAGAGCTCTGAGAGGTTAATGTTCTATCCCATGTCTTCTGGACATTGATCCATAAATATCCATGATCATTGTGTTCTAAATGTAATGTTTGAGAAACACAAAATGTAATTTTGCTATAGGACAATACAATCTTTCTCTACTAAATTCCAAGTAGTTAATAGTATTTGTTTTATGCTGTTTCTTTCATATTTTGTTCAGTCATACTCTTACTAGGATAGTGCTAGAATCATATCATCAAATATATGGGATTTATGCTGAAGATCATTACTATTTCTCTTGTTTATTAACTAAACACCTTGTATTTTTATTGAAGATACTGTGTAATTTTCTTCTCTTTGGGTCTCTTTTTATCTAATCAAAATAGATTAGATGTCATGATCTCAAAATCTAGATTTAGTAAGAAAGGCATTGCCATATTTTTCCTTTTATCTTTATCTTTATTATCAGTTTTATTACTTTCTAACAACTTTTGTGGGTGGTCTAATGGTTTCAGTGGCCTTTCAAACTGAGATTACGACCCTTCTGCTGAAATGAAGACCACTCAGATGTTGCAATGCTGTGTCTCAACAGAATGTGGAATAATATTGCACAAGAGCAAAACCCTCATACTGCTTAGGGGCTCTGGTGTTCACTTATATTATCTTGGATATTATATTATATTATCACTTATATTATCTTTGATATATTATATGGATTTTTTATTCTTTTTCATGATGAGTATTTAAAGTGCTATGTAAAATGTCCAAAAAGATCATTGCATAAAATTAATAATCAGATGTCTTCCACATTTTCTGCAGCCTGTAACCAAGGCGCACTCCATTCTGACTGACAATTATTGGAAAATTTTTACTTGCCTAGTGGGTTCTTATCTTAGCTCTAAGACATGTTAGCCTATGCAGTTTCTTGTGGAAATTATAATTATTTATCATAGTACAGAACACACAACAAGTATACCTGTGCTGCCAAGCCTGTAGACGATTTCTGAGTTTGTAATAGTGACAAGTACAATTTTTCTAGGACCTCTCAATAAGAAGATTCTTTATTTCTCCCCTTTGACCATGTGGTCTCCCAGCATCTTGCATAGTTTTCTTACTGTCTATGGGAAACATCTAGATTATGATGCTCTGCATGTCCAATAGTTATATGTTACACACTCCTGACCCTGGAAAATGCTGCTTTGTTCTTTTGTGTCTGATGGTATTGAATTACTCGGTAGGTTTTTTTGACTCTGACATAGTGTTTCACTAGTTTCCTGGTAGCTGTTTTCTTAATATCTTGAATTTGAGTAATGTTATTACAGAGGATGATTTATTCAAGACCTTTTCACCTTCTTTGTATTTTCAGTGCTTAGTGTTTACAATTTTTAAAACAGTAGCATAATCAAATCTTTTAGTAATGCCTTCGTTCAGCTTTCATAGACACAGTCTTCCAAACACAATTTCCTACAGTGACTCCCCTAAACAAATCACCATGTTCATGTAAGCACACTAATAATGTGCTGGGACTGACAAGAGACACTCTTGCTTTTTTGAATAGATTCTGTACTTTTTTTTCATCCTGATTCTGATCCTTTCTGACAAGGGTCTTGCGGCCCTCTCAGTGTCTGTATGAAAGAAATCTGCTGTGTTACAGTTTTAGGTCCTGCAGTACCCCTCATACTTTTGTGGTCATCAGAAGAACAGATCCCTCAAGTCATTAAACCTCCCTTTCCTCAAGATTTCTTGATTCATGTTAATTTTTCTGAGAGGCAGGTGTTCAGTTCACCGCCAGTAGGTTGTCTTTCTCTCAAGCGTGTGACTATAATCACTGATACAGCAGCTTTCAAAAAGAGCATTGCTATTAGTAGGATTAAAGCATTGTACAAGAAATCTGTCCAGTGTTTGTTTCTATTCCCTTAATTATGATTTGTTGTTCTTTCTTGCCTACTGCTGTCCCTTGCAACTTAGTTTATCCAGCTTTCAAAGTCCACCAAAATCTCTGCTCCTTTCTTCCTCCTCAGAGCGCCTATGTGACAAGAATCCCTCCTTTCAAAGGATTCTTGAATTTTACTGAGGAAGTTACTCATCAGTTTGGTAATGATCTTTGTGGCATTCAGTATTAAGAAATTAGGATTTTGCAAATTCTAGTGTTTCACTGGATAGGTGACAGGATTCTAAAGTTCAGTCAGCAGCAACGTATATACATTTTTCTTCTTGAAATTCCTCAAAATGTCACAAATAACAGAGCTTGTCATTACTGAACTCTAATTTATCATTCAAAAAAAAACATCCTAAAATCTGAAATTGTTCTCTAGGTAGTCACCCCATTAAAAGTATCACTCAAAGCCTTTTAGCTGGAAGTG